GGTGGAAACGTGGAGGGAAATAATCCCCCCCAGGCCAGGCCAGTAGTGAGCCCACTGAAAGCAGACCTGTAAAAAGAAGGTGAAGTTCAGACCAAAAGGATTTCCATTGAGATCACAGCTTTGCAGCTAGAATCACACCCAGACTAAATTGTGAATGTGTACCTCAAACTCATGAAAAATCAACTTGACACTATCCATCTGTCTTACTCTCTACTTTCACTCATCTGGCAATACATGCTAAGAAAATCATTTCGGCCTAGCGGCCAAGGCCCATCAGTGATGGTGGTGACAGAGATGGAACTGATAAGCAGCTGTATTACTTTCTTAGTAATCCTGGTTAATCCTGCTTGGGCCATGGCCTCAGAACAGGCCACAAGACTAATTCATAGAAGAAAAGGGTTTAGGCCAACAATCTAAACTTTACTGACCCAATGAGGGATTACTGTGACCAAACTCTTATTTCAAGATGTAACTGAAAAAGAGACATTGGAGGAAACATTTCCTACTTCTGAAAAGGTCTGAAGGTTCCACCATTTCCACTCTGATATCAAGTTCAAGTTCAAGTTGTATTGTCACATGCACAAGTACAGTGAAATGCTTCATTTGGAATGTGCTATTTTGCCTCTCCAGAAGTGTGTTTCTTATCAAGCCTATAAAACCCTCAGTGGAGAAGTGGATCAGCCTGGCATCAGTTGAGACCCATTATGTCTATATGTTGTGTACTGACATCCTCCTTTAAAGCCACCAGCCCTTTAGTGGTTTGTCCCACCCCATGACCTCTGGTGACCAGGCAAACCCTAATTCAGGCCAAACCTTGGGGACATAAAGCTGCTTACAGACACTGAACTGAGGTGAACAGAAAGTGTCTCAAGGCATAGATAGCTGACTGCTGCACCTGAGCTAGAATACTTCACACGCAATGACCACGTCAGCTTTGTTAGAAGGTGAGAGACAAAATCAAGATGCTACCCCAATGTCTTGGTTGATCCAAAGAAAGCTAAAATAACACTAAAGAACCCATTTGATTCTGGAGGTTCATTTGTACCTAACCAGGTCAACTCTTACCGTCTAAGACTGAGGAACACATTCAGAGTTGCCAACAACAATGCAGATGGAAATGGCTGTCTATACAATGGTCTTTCTTTGCTCCCTGTCTCTAATCTCCTTTAGGTTTTCCTAAAAACTATAAAGCGGTTTTGATTCAAATCCATGCAAGAAACTAAAACTTTATTACACCTCAATACTTAAATAAGTAATTTTAAAACAGTGTAAAAAGTTAGACCTTCTCTAAACAAGTGTGCAGAACATTGAACCACAGAGTCTGGTAAATCACTAAGGCCCATGGATGAACTGAGCTTTACAGTTGGACTTCGGTCACAATGGTCAAAACCCTGAGTAAGCAATTTAAATCTACACAATTAGCAATAACAATCCCCCATCACTATGTTATAATGGAAACGTTACTACATCATGAAATAAGTGCCATAGTAGAGAACTAAACTTTTTTGCATCAATGATGCCCTTGTGTCATGATGACTCATGAAGCGCCACAGTGCCAACAGTGCTCCAAGTGAGGATATCCAGTATCAAACTCATACCCATGTCAAGCAGAAGAAATGAAAGACACAATGCATGGTCTTTCAGAATGAAGTCAGTCTCAATAACCATGTGTGGATTGAACTGGCGACTCATTCAGAGTATGAAGTAAGAAAATATGCATCATATTTTGTTGGGTTTTTGCCTTCATCCACGTTGGGGGATGGGACCTCCAATTGCGATGTGAGGGTTTAGTAGCAGATGCTGTTCTGATTGATCCGTTTCCAAACATAATGAAAAAGATAATGTGTAGCAGTCAGGCTGATATCTGAATGCAATAAATAAGTAAAGAATGGGAATGAAATCAACTATCAGAAAACATTTCTGTAATTGTTACTTTAGAGCTCAATTAGAGTAACTAGATGGTTTGTTTACAACGATGACCCATGTCATAGTCTCCATATCAGGCAAAAACAGGTGCCTCTTTTGTCTGATGTGCAGTCACCTGGACTGATAGGAAAGCGACCCAACCTCAATAAAAAATTACCATTCTGCTGTGATTGATTGACCATTGTTCTCAGTATGCATTGATGTAATGTATTAATTCATCTTAATTTACTGAAGGCTATGAATAATCTGGCTGGTTCTAAACGTTCACTTACAGTAAATGCTAACGCACGCTAAAGAAATCATCAACCTGTAATTAATTACCAGTGGATAAATAAACATGTCACGAGCTAAATAATCAACAAGAACGGACGTCAACACAATGCACTACAGGGGACATTCTGCTTGTCAGACTGTTTCCATGGTCGCTTGAATACAGGAGACAAAAGTATAGCCTACAACGGCATAATTTTTGTCTCGACTAAAACTAGAATGAGGAATTGTGTGTTTGTGAAATAAAAACATTTAATATAATAGTCTATTATAAGTGAATGGCCCCTATTTACATTTGCATTAAAAGTCGACCCCATGTGTAACTCACATAGGCCGTTATTCACATGTAGGATGCGCCCGATTTAAAGTCCCTTTACCTTGCTTGAGGCACTTCTCTGACTTGACCAGAATAGAATCAGTCCATCAGGTCCTTTGCTTTTTTTTTTGCACGCAGGTTGACGTATTTGGGCTTTCATTAGTTATTCTAAAGTTTGATAAGATTGCCTTAAAAATGCAGGTGTTCGACAAAGGCAGGTGGTCGCATATTTTATAAAAGCGTGGCAGACAGACTTTCACGCGCGCTGCATAATTGTTGCTAAACACAACCAGGGAAGTTGTAGGAAACGCTACTAGTAGATTTAGCTGTAGCACTATTTCATTCAATTCTCAGGTTATAAATCCCATATAAAGATAAGAGAAAAACGTAAGAAGTACCTAGATGGGTTTAGAATCCTTTCAAAGTTTCCGAGCATACTTTTATATTGCTCTTCTTCGTGTTGCTTTGTCCAAAGTTACCCAAAGTGTTGTAAAAAGGAGCAGTAGAAAAATACTCTCCGAATCCATAAAGCACATTTAAGTTATACGTTACTCAAAAAACCCAAAATGATGTGTACCCCTCAGTTCCCCCACTGCGATGATGGAGTGTGTAGACAGAGTATAGTCGTATATTCATCTACTACGTTCCTCGCGGTTTCGTCCCTTCCTCGTATCTTTCTCCTCCCTACCACATGCACTCAGTTTGAGCGCTCCATACAAAAGCGCATTTTCGTTGGAACGTCCAACGTATAGAGGACGTGTCGGGGTCCCTGACAAAAGACAAATGTTATGCAACGGAACACGTCCATAGACAATGGCAATGTAATGTTGCATATCCACCAGTTATACATTTTTTAAAGGGTCAAAATGTTATCAAAAAGTCCTTGCATTAAGCTTTTGTTCTTCTCCATGTGTCTTTCCGTGTATATTCAATTATCAATAAAGCCGTTATTACTGGGAGAAAATAGGCTACTTTGTCACACAAAGTTACAACAAAATACTTTCACCACACATTTTTGCCAATCAATATGGGAGTGGGATAAATTTTGAATAAATGCAACAGCGTTTCCCGTAAAGAACTCCATGTAATGTCTGTGAACTTTGCTTTGTTTGGGGTCGGGAGTGGTTGGGGTAAACTGATCCTAGACCTGCCCTAGTAGCAACTCCCTACCCAGTTGATTTAGGCAAAACTTCAGTAGACTTGTAACTACACTACCAGTAGCACCATTGACCCAAAAAATATCAAATAAGTAACAGCTCTCACACTCACAGATCTTACATTTTTGGTTCAGACAACATCAATGGTTGTCTGTAGAATATTGGGTTTGTTTTTTTACCCACAAAGTAAACGTTGGCACACCACAGGGGGGCGTGAGTTGACACACAAGTGGAGACAGTTGTTCATGATACAGTCTTTATTGGAGCTGGTGCACAACCACAAATGCCTTTCCATTGAATATATGGATACACTACTGACTTCATTGCAAGTGACAATGCCTCTCAAACTCTGCCAGTAGAAAACTACACCAGACACTTTGAGCTCTGTATTATTGCGTGACTACTTTTCCTTCTTGACTCTCACAGGCCTAGCAGCACACCATATGGAGATCAAAGGATTGGCATTAATCACTTAAGATACTCCTACCAGGAACCCTCCAGGAAAGCACAAGTGACATTTCAAGTTTTCAAGTTCTGTTGGGGGTACCAACAGGGGTTGGGGGTTGGGGGTATTTATGTATGGTTACACTGATCTGGTCTTGGGCTTTCAGTTGGACAATAAAATTAAACCCTTACAGCACAGCTATGCATTTGATCAGCAAAGAAATGATGTCCTTCCCTTTTATAGATATGCGTGGGTATACCTACACATGAGGCCATAACTATTGGAATACATGAACACAATTTGCTGTATACCTCAAACTTAAAATCATTAAAAATATATATAAATAAATGCATCCTAGAATCACATTTGTAATTGATCAGTCAACTAAAAATCAAGGGTGGTCTACAGTGATAGGTGGGATGGGCTGAGAGTGGCTGAGAGGTGGGATTAAGGAGCTCATGTTCGGTTATGTATTATTGTTATGTGATCACTGTATATAAAAGTACCATGTATGTAAAATGTATATGTAAAGTGTGATATGTAAAATGTATGCATATGTAGCAAAAAAGCTGGATGGGTTAATACAAAAAATTAAATAAAGTAAATAAAAATGTGCATGTTCTTTGTTAGCAACAATAACACAAACCTATCTGATCTAAATATAGTAGTCATTCATAATGAACAATGGTGGTAATCCAGTCAAAGAACAAAAAGTGAATGGACATTACATGATGAACATAAACATCAAAGGGATATCTGCTTTAGGACTAACCTGGATCCCAGTCTGTTTACTGTATTCAACAATGTTATATGAAAATAACAAAGGAGTTGCCTCAGCTAGGAGTGGCTCAGTCATCAAAGTCTGGGATATGTCATAAGAGTAACCACAGTAGCCCTTCGATGCATAGTAAGCTATCCGCATGTGATAGAATCCTGGAAGGAAAACCAGGATTTCAATGATGAGAACTGGCACAGTCCGGAAAAAAATCTAGATCTAAGAAACACATTGGAATGTGTCAAAGCTAAGTATGTGAAATCTATTTGTTGTGCTGTTGTGAAACATGACAGGAATGTACAGATGGACTCTCAACATTCATACTCACTGTGACTTCAAAGTATCCTGCCAATAGGAGGGCTCCAATGGTGATCAAAAGAGAGCCAATCAAGAAGAGGAAGGTGGCCAGTGCAATGGCTTTGTATGGGACCTTTGGTGGGCTCTTTTTGAACTGGGGGGACAAACATTATTTCATAACAACATACCACATAAGTTCAATAAATTGAATGGTACATTTTTTTGTAATTTGTGTATCACCAAACCCTCCCAAAAGCTTTTTTCAATACTGATATGACAACATTATTCTATATACTGGGTTGATTGATGCAATAACAATATTGGACTATGTCTATTGGCTACATAATCCCATAATTGCCATGGGCAGTTCATTTCAAATAAGACAAAGCCTATATAGATTATATTCTAACCCTACCATGCCCATTCTAGCACACTCAAGCCCTTACCTGGGCTCCCGAGTAGCGCAGCGGTCTAAGGCACTGCATCTCAGTGATTGAGGCGTCACTACAGACCCCTTGCTTCGATTCCAGGCTGTCCCACAACCGGCCGTGATGGGGGTCCCATAGGGCGGCGCACAATTGTCCCAGCGTCGTCCGGGTTTGGCCGGTGTAGGCCAAAGAAAGGTGTAAGAATTTGTTCTTAACTGACTTGACTAGTTAAATTAAAATCAATGGCTAACTTGGTGTTAGGTATTACTTGTCTTACACTGCTGCGAGCGTTCATCTTTACTTTAAATAGCTTGCTAAAACTGTTGCATTGTTCTGTTACATTGGCAGCCGGTACATTGTTTCATTTCATATTGAGAAATGCTACAATGATGACACTTGCCAATTCAGATACACTGTTGTCAACTTGCAACGAGCGTGTAAATCAGTCTGTTAGCTCCTCTCGACTCACTATAATTAGCCTACGTTGCAACCAAATGGAAATAGAAAGAAGGATACTGCCTTTTCAGATCAGGAGTTAAAACATAAACATACAATTTTGTCGCAATCAAAACGTCCGCACTCATGCCCTCTTCCTTCTTTAGTCTGTACAACTCCTGAGCAATGCCCTGAACTGTCCCTGAACTGGAATGGAAGTAGGCGAGGCCTACCACTAAGTGGCGGTGCCGTATCACATCTGAAAAACAAGTTGGTACAGCTCAAGTGGATCACAAAAAAAGGTAGGCTAGGAAACACTCATGTCAGTATCTGTCTTTTCATAAAATCAATAGATCTATCACGTGTAGGTCCACATATTGTGATAGTGACAGTGCTGTTATTGGTTAGTTAGTGCTTTTATATTCAGTATTTTGTGATTTTGTAGTGCTTTTAGTGTAGCCTTCTCTGCATCCTCTTCCCATGCATTGTTTACATTAGCCCATTCATAGATGCTACCTTTAGCGCCTATTGATGAAGGTATCTTCTTCCCTGAGGACTTTTGCTAAGAGCCCCGACACTTGCTCAAAACAAGCATCGCTTGCGGTACGGTTTTGGAAACATAAGGAACGTACACTGAGTGTTCAAAACATTAGGAACACCTGCTCTTTCCATGACAGACTGACCAGGTGAATCCAGCTGAAAGCTATGATCCCTTATTAATATCACTTGTTAAAGCCCCTTCAATCAGTGATAGATGAAGGGGGGGAGACAGGTTAAATAAGGATTTTTAAGCCTTGAGACAATGGATTGTGTATGTGTGGCATTCAGAGGGTGAATGGGCAAGACTAAATATTGAAGTGCCTTTGAACAAGGTATGGTAGTAAGTGCCAGGCGTACTTGTTTGTGTCAAGAACTGCAACACTGCTTGGTTTTTCACGTTCAATCAATCAATCAATCAATCAATCAATCAAATGTATTTATAGAGCCCTTTTTACAACAGCAGTTATCACAAAGTGCTTATACAGAAACCGAGCCTAAAACCCCAGAGATCAAGCAATGCAGATGTGGAAGCACGGCGGCTAGGAAAAACTCCCTAGAAAAGGCAGGAACCAAGGGAGAAACCTAGAGGAACCAGGCTCTGTGGGGTGACCAGTCCTCTTCTGGCTGTGCCGGTGGAGATAAGAATATATGGCAATCAATGCTAGATCGTTCTTCAAGATGTTCAAATGTTCATAGATGACCAAAAGGGACAAATAATAATCACAGTGGTCATAGAGGGTGCAACAGGTCAGCACCTCATGAGAGAGAGAGAGTCGAAACAGCAGGTCCGGGATAAGGTAGCAGGTCCGGTGAACAGGTCAGGGTTCCATAGCCGCAGGCAGAACAGCAGAAACTGGATCAGCAGCACGACCAGGTGGACTGGGGACGGGGACAGCCAGGAGTCGTCAGGCCAGGTAGTCCTGAGGCATGGTCCTGAAGGCTGAATTTATGCACAGAAATCTATATTTGAGTACAAGCCTCAAAGCAAAGGATGTTATATTAGATAACCATATTCGATCATAATTTCAGATAACAATGATGGCCAATTCAATGTGACGTGCTGTCATCATATGAAAATGAATGTCTAACATGGATTAAATGAGCCTGTGCACCATTTCATGTTTAGTGACAAAGACTCTTGTTCAACTGTGTAGGGGTGGGAGGTGATCCCTGAACAGCTTTGATTGTTATTTCAACAGAGCTTCTTAATCGTATTTGCACAAACAACAGGAAGTGACAGATGCAGTAGCTGGAGGTCTGGAAGCCTATCAAGAGTCATGTTAGGTGAACTGTTGCAAAAGCCCTCCCAGTTACCATCTGTTGGTTTGACTTCTTTTCATATGCTCATGAAAGACATGAGTCATGACTATGTACTATGCTATGAACATGTACAGTATAATCATCTATGATCTGACAACTACCTCAAGGTGTAGCCACGGTATAAGTAGCACAGGTGGTCGCCTCTGTCTTCCGTTAAAACAAGCACTGTAACGTGGAGATATGGCCATGTGGGAACACTAACCCTAACCCTATAAAAGGTGTGTGTAGTAATTTAACCTTTTTTTATTCTTATTTCTCGCTGATATGAAAAATACATTGAGTGTACCAAACATTAGGAATACCTTCCTAATATTGAGTTGCACCCCCCTTTGCCCTCAGAACAGCCTCAATTCGTCGGGGCATGGACTCTACAGGTGTTAAAAGCGTTCCACAGGGATGCTGGCCGATGTTCACTCCAATGCTTCCCACAGTTGTGTCAAGTTGACTGAGTGTCCTCTGGGTGGTGGACCATTCTTGATACACACGGGAAACTGTTGAGCGTGAAAAACCCAGCAGCGTTGCAGTTCTTGACACACCCAAACCGTTGCGCCTGGAACCTACTACCACACCCAGTTAATAGGCACTTCAATACTTTTTCTTGCCCATTCACCCTCTGAATGGCACACACACACAATTCATGTCTCAAGGCTTAAAAATATTTCTTTAACCTGTCTCTTCCCCTTCACCTACACTGATTGAAGTGGATTTAACAGGTGACATCAATTAGGGATCATAGCTTTCACCTGGATTCACCTGGTCAGTCTATGTCATGGAAAGAGAAGGTGTTCCTAATGTTTTGTACACTCAGTGTACGTACTTACTGAGGTACATTACATTTGTACGATCCACTCCCATGCTGTATGTCTGTTTTCATCAAATTGCCTCAGAATAAACTAAACTCTGCAGGGTCAATCTTGTCCAGAACACTGTGGTCTATAAAATGACATATCGCCTCAGATCAATAGCCCTTTAGTCAATTTATGAATTGTGATACGAGAAGTTGACTTTTTCAATGAATGGTGATAAAAAAAAATAATTAAAGGCCATCCACTTCTTAGAAGATGTTGCTCGTGTTTACCATGGCTCTGTCTCAGAGAGTGTTTAACAGACTACAAACTATTTGAATATCCGTCCAGTGTCCGTGCAATAAGAGCTGTGGTTGATGACTCTGCACAGGTCAATAAAGTGGATACACGGTCTGAGAAGAGAAAGCAGAGAAGGGCAGAGGCAGACAGTCTATTCAGGTTACCTGATGATTCTAATCAGGTAGCAGAATGACATCAATGTTATTTTTACCCTCTACAGTGTGGTTTGTTCAGGGAGATTAGAAACAGAAGCACACCAGGTAACTTGTACAAAAGCTTTGATGACATTGTGTATGAAGGTTCATCTGGTTTGTGACTACGGTTGTCTGACTGATTCTCCCTGCAATGGATTGTCATCTCTCTGGTCACGCACAGCGATGACCAGGATGGCACATAAAGCAGAGAGGGAAGGGTAGATTTTGCAATACACACAGAGAATAACTACTGCACAACCTTTACCCTCTGATAAATCATTAATGTAGTTGTCGTTGATAGAGGGTAATTGTCTTCCTTCCCTGAAAAATACTATATTCCCAGCTAGTACATAATGTTCTGAGAACCATATGTTTCTTAGTGCTTGGTGAGAGCGTGGTTGTCCTATGGTTATTTTGCATACAACCTTCCCACAACGTTCTGGGAATGGTGCAGGATACCCAGCTAGCACATAACATTCTGAGGTGGGAATTTCAGTATTTCAGCATAACGTTTCCTACAGGTTTCCTCATGGTTCTATTTAAAATAATGTTCTCAAATTGTTCAGAGAATGCTAAGAATCAATGTTCTGTGGGAATTTCAGTATTTCAGCATAACATTTTCTGCAGGTTTCCTCATGTTCTCAGAACATTAAGAAAACCCTCCATAAAAACCAAAGAAAACGTTAGTAACATTTAAATCATGTTTTAAGAATGTTATTTAAAAACGTACTACATTCTGTTCTCAGTGTCACCAAAACTCTGTCAATTCTCTATCTTGTTAAGTGTGTTCAGGTGTGTTGGCTGCACCCACTAATTGGCCACACCTGATCTTAATGAATGCTTGTTTCCTTTGAAATGTGGTCTGTTTGAATAGACAAAAATTAACAGCTTTGTATGAGTTTTTAAAAATTAATGCTAGCGCCATCCTGGTGGTGCAGTGTACTAATTCCATGGATAGACAACAGAAGATCATGGTTTGAATCTCACTGACGCCGTACCACAATAAAAAATACATGTTTGAAACAGTTAACCCAAACTAAGCTAGTTGTGTTATTAAAAGTCTTATTGAAACATGTTCTCAGAACATTATTTAATTACTTTCAAATAACCTATAATTTCTGCTCTCAGAATGTTAATAAAACCTCACAGGAA